GGAGGCACGGATAGGCGCGAAAGCTCGAAAGGGGCTCGACAATCTCGACAGTCGGTCCCATCCGAGATGTGACCATGTGGAAAGTAGCTCGTTATACGCGCCACCGTAGGAAACTAATTACCGTATCACTTGACCGTTCGTTAGAAGCCGACGCGTAGTTTGCGCAGTTCCAATCGCGATCGCACATATGACAGCGTATATCTTCGTATGTGTGAATCGATTTCGCGCCGCAACGAGATGCACGTACGTCGATGTTCTCCGCTGTTTGCTGTCGAGTCGCGCGATACTCTATCTCAGAAACCTAACTGCGATTCCCCATACCATGGCGATAGAGATTTCGCGCAGGTATAACCTCATTTCTACGGCTGGTTTATAGTTATATGGCTTTGTGATTGGCTGCGTGAAACTTGATACATCGAATATGGAAATGGATGTCTTCTCGCGCGATACAAATAAAACGTGTATGCGCTGCGACGCGCAGTGCATCGCGATGACATTGCATTTAAAATACCATAATTAACTCAACTTATATCGATAATTGCAATTATATCATATTGATCCTTCATTTCGAATGCGGTACTTTTAATGTAATATACTTTTCATCTTACTTGAATTATATTTTTTGCGATCTTAGCGGGTTTTCGAACCAAATATGTTCTTCTGGCCTATCTATGTACCTATCCAACCTTTCAACAAAATTCATACGCAACACCCTTTATCATGGTCCAAACGACATCGCAGTGATCAGCTCGGTAACCGGAGATGACTGCGAGTTCGATACATCCGTGTTTGAGATCTCTGATCAAGGCGACATCGAATTTGCAGTCGGGGGCATGTACATGCCAGTTCGATGCACTTGAAATATGTAAATGTGAACGCAAATGTGAGAAGACACTCGCAACCTGGATATTATCTCGGCAAACGTGAAAGAAAATCATGAACGTGGTGTCGATAAACGGAGCACGTCTTATATATATACCGTAATGTTCTTGAACATGTATGCGAGATGTTGAAATACACTTGCTGAAGGCATTTCAGAAATCGTAAATTAATATTTTTTTATGATGTAAAATTTTACAAAAAGTAATTATTTTTATAGGATATAAAATTTCATCAAAGACAAAAACATTTCCGACCTTTTATATTATTTAGTAAAAGTATTTTTAGTTACAAGCTGTCAATTACACCTGATACATTGCCTTTGTTCTCATTTTTGTATCTCAATCATTTCACACTTCTTACATCTGTTCATCTATGACTGTCGCGATACGCTATGTGGTAGATCTAGTTGGCAACAACCAACTTTCACAATGTTCACTTTGAGGTGGTGGCTTCACATGATTGCGCACGTCGGTTGGTTTCTGGTTGCGAAGACAAGCGTTATCAATTCCGTTCTACACAACATGTATACTTCCGCTTGCATACATAGGCATACATATGTATGACTGCTCGCATATATAGTGAGAGAAGTAAATTCATATATTTCGCCATGAAGACCTACGAAAGATACGACGTGTGCCTTAACTCGCGTGTACGAGAAATTCGCTAGTAAATCCTTGCTTTTACGAACTCAAGTTAAGCTAACACTCGAATGTTAAATCACTGCGTCACGCTACCTGCCTGAAATTTGAAAAATTTTCGTGTTTCGGAATTTTGGAAGTTAGAGTTGGGATCAACGCTTCAGCTTGCTTGTTGGATATTTGACGAGTACAAGTGCGCTATGTGTATATAGTTAATTAAAGTACACTTTCGCGCACAGTAAAAATTAAAGAAGGAATCCGAGGGGAAATTCACAACCCAAAATTTTTTACACTGCTGTACTGCCGAGCCAATGCCGAATAAAATTCGGACACTGCTATATAGCAATGCTATGCAATGCTTCCTGTATTGCCACTGACACCAATCATTATTACCACTACACAACCACTGACGACAATTTGTTAGTCTTTAATTGTGACTGAGAAAGTCATTATAAGTAGTCGACAAGGGCATCACTTACATAAAAGTTCGAGACATCATTCGAAAAAGTATCATTCGGAGAAATACAATAAATATATATAATGGTAAGCTGTGTATTAAACGTTAATTTGTTACAATTAATTGGACAATTGATTAAATTTATTTTACACTTGTAAGATTTGTATGTAAAACATTTTTAAAGAAATTAAAACATAAAAAGATGTCATATCAAGAAACAGTAATCTCTTTTACTTTACTCTTTTGCAATGTATTTTACAATATTATAAAAATGGCAGTCAATCTCGCCTTTCTTCAAGTATTAATTTATAAAATACATGTAATAATTTTAATCATCCATTTTATCTAAAAAAGAGTACTCTTTTTTAACTCATTAAATGTTTTGAAATTTTGATGAAATATACCATTGATAAAAAATCAATATTTATCTACTTATTGAATATCTTTTTATTCGCATCAGGAGACAGACGATTCGCTTGCGATGTCATCACGTGTAGGAAAAGTATATCTCGAGCAAGGATCTTACATTTCGGATTTTCTGTTTGAAATCTTAAATCGATTTAAAGAACTTCGCCGGCAAACGTCGCCCTTCGTGATCGAAACCCATGAGAGCAGCGATCTTTCCCATCCGACTCGGACGGCCAAATTATATTCAGATAATTTGACTTCCTTCAAATTCCACGTGCGGTCGCGTACGAAGGATTCCGAAGCGCACCTAGAACGTCCCTAGGACCCGAAGGAGCCGATCTTATCGAAGGTTTTTCTTTGTCGACTTCGTAAGCGTTCCCAAAATCCTCGCGCGCGGTAGAAAGGATTGGATCAGCGATTGGAATTCTGAATCCGGTGAAATCAGTGAGGCGAAAATGCTTGATACGGCAAATTCGAGATCTCGGTCCATGAGAAGTGCGAGAAGAGGGCAGAGAACGACCAGCGCAGGGTGAAGAAGAAAAACAACGGACGTTTGCGCGCGGAACGAAATAACGGGCGTTTGTGAGAAGAAAGAAGTCTAACGACAAAAATACGCGTTGACCGTTGTATTTCTCGTTCGATGCCGTTGCTCCTGCTTAGTGTCGACGATTTCTTAATGGCCACTGCTTTTCATCATCAAAGTACGCGAAAATGCATACATCGAAAAGAATCGGAAAATTCCGCGTGGCAAAGCATTGGATCCAACGGATACATAGGATGCAATTTTGGACACGCGGATTCCGATCGTGGATGAATAGGGCTTTTCATATACTCTGCTTTGTCTCGTTTACCTCAATGTTCACATTTCTGATCAATGTTATACGCAAGTTGAAATCATTCAACTATTAAAGCATGAAATATTAATTCTGATTTTTCATTTAGACTCCAATACTCTTCTGTAGCTGATCACATCGTAATATATATATGTATCAAATTACGTGCAACCAGCAAATAATTTGTAAAACTAAATTTTTAAAAAAGTAATGTGGGCATAAAAAATTATACAATACTTAACCCTTTGTGTGCATACGTTTTTTCGGTGCACACTTTCCCAGTTTACACGTGGGCCTGTCATGTTCGACGCTATTTTTCCCTACCTTACAAGTATTTTTTTTTTAATCTGAAAAAATTCACAAAAAAATTTATCGGAAAAAATCTGTCTACATTGTAGGTAACGATTTTATAATCATTTTGATGAACATCGTTTATTTAATATTTTCTGGCAGGCTTGCAAGTTTTACAGTTACGAGCAGATATAATTTTGGCTTGAACGCCGTTGACCCACGTTTACACATGGAGAGTTAAGTAAAAAAAAGTGCAAAAAAAAATTGAAAACACTTCTAAAAATTATTTTCTTAATAATATGTTATGTAGTGCGTATAATTGTAATTAATGGAATGGAAAATATATCTGTAGGTAATGCGTTCAAGTAAATTCCCCAAAAATTATTTAAACATAAGCTATAATACAATCATGCAATCCAAGTTCCACATTCATATGAAATTCACATTTTACTTTCGCATTTATACGTATCTAAAAATATTTCTTCATTTTATGTACATCGCGGATCAAACTAAAACGAGACTACATGAGAAAATAAGCCGAGTTTTCGATATCAAAATATACGACGTTAATTCCGCTTTAAAAGCGAGCTCTCGACAATCAAAAGAAGCTTGGAGACTTTCCGCGTGTCCGTTTCCGCATGTAGCGTCGGATTGTGCAACGAAAAGTTGCATCCTGCAAACATCCTTGTTTGAGAGCGAATTCTTCGGTCAGTCATCATAAGTCAGTCACGAGCGCGAAACTTAGCAAATCGGACGTATTTATTCTTCGACCAAAAACGGCACCGTTACTCGCCATTAACACACTGAGAAAAAATTTTTTAGATCCAAGAAAATATTTCTTTGAATAGTCGTAATAACATATTTACTAACGTACGCGTTAGACCCGGTCTACAATCAGTCGTATGTCGGAGTCGGATGTCGCAACGTAGCCGATGGTCCAATGAGAGTATTTCTTTTTCGGAAACGAATTTTTCTCATTGGATCATCGGGTACGTTCCGACATCCGACTCCGACATACGACTGATTGTAGACCGGGCATTACACGGAGCAGCCCGCGTACATAATTATGATGTGGCGCGACATATGATGAAGAACGGCTCCGAGGCCAACTCCATCGAACGAGGTATGGTCGAACTGAAACCCGTACTCGAACCAGATTATTACTTGTACCCATTATATGTACAGTAGTAATATAAAGCTGGCGCACATGAACTGCATCCGACATCAATGGATGGTGATGCACGCCGTCGACGAAATAGCATACGGCGAAGATAGAAACACACCGACTTTGGACGACTAAGTTCTAATCATAAAATATCTCATAGCGTCTTACGGTCATACGCGTACAAACACTACGTTAAGCGCGACGTCAACGACGATGAGATGAAGGAAACAACTATCGAATGTTTCCTAAACGACACCAATAAGGCCTTTTAACTTAAAACACTGGCCAACAAATGGGAGAAATGCACGCGTAAAGATAGGGATGCGATGCGCGTCACGTCTAAACCACTCAGAGCCAAGGACGTAGCAAAGGAGATGATACATCCACAAAAGTCTACCATCGCAAAAGTCATAAGAATGACAGTTCGTATCACGGATGAAGAGAAGGCGATAGACGACATCGCCGATTACTTGCGACAACACGTGCAAGTATTTCCCTCTCGCATAATGGGAGAAAAAGAATCATCGAGCTACGCGTGGGGTAGATTAGACGACAATCACAAACGTCTGTCGTACAAGACCATGAAAGATAACGTATGACAAGCGCTCGCCTACTGGGAAGGGACCGTTCCAGAAGATCAAGATCAACATCGTTAAATGTATCAGGAAAATGTGCTCGAGATGCAGAAATGTTTGTTTTGTCAACTAATGCAGGCAAAAAAAAAACATTTTGCATGTTCTGTAACACGTTTTAAAGTAAAAGCTACAAGGAGACATCATTCTCGAAAATGCATTGGTCCTAGAAACAAAGATACAAGAGCGGTATCAGTTTTAGGAAAAACAATAATAGGTCGAATACATCCTGAAGCGAATATAGTGTCTTAAGATTACGTGTTTTTCCCGTATTAAAAGAAGATGACATAGTACGACTAATACGATATAACGAATTAATAATTGCATTCGGAAATCAACAGTGTGAAAAATATAAAGCATCAGAGCATAATGATAGCATGATAAGACAGAAACTAAGAAGAGTCGGCCGTTTACTACAAATATTGAAACATAAATGTTCTGACATTACAGATTTTGCATCCATTTATTTTCCACGATACAGCAGTGCCTGTATTGAAGCAATTAACACATTAGCAGGTTTATCTTTATGCGGAAAATATTATAAAATTCCATCATTAGCATCGTCACTTTGAGGTTTAATAAAAAAACTTGGAAAAATGTTAATTAATCGATATATTAGAAAAGAAAACTGTGATAAAAAATTAATTGCTAAAGATTTTTTAAAAGTATTTTCAGAAGATTATATTACAACTCATATTACGAAAACAATATCTGAAACAATGAATCAAAATAAAAGACGTAAAAGAATTGTTCTCCCTTCTAAATCGGATATTATTAGGCTTCACAACTTTTTACAAGAAAAACGTCAAACAGCTTATAACGTTTTGAGAGAAGGATTTTCTTACGAACCATGGCTTAAACTCGCCAAAGTAACATTGACATCAGTACAAGTATTCAACCGTCGTAGAGCCGGAAAGATACAAAGAACACACTCATCGAAGATTACAAGGTTTACGAAGGAATTAATTTATCAAACAAATGAAATGTATGAAGCACTTTCAACACGTGCCAAAGAGACAGCTAATATGTACGTTTTACATTAAGAGGTAAACTTGGACGAACAGTACCAATTCTATTGACGGGAGAATTGAGAGATTGCATTGATATAATATTAAAGCATAGAAAAGCTGCAAAAGTTTCAACAAAGAATCCGTATATGTTTGGTCTTCCTTTTCTTGTAAAAAATAAGCATAGATACCTCTTGGCATGTGATCTGTTGCGACAGTATGCAGTAGAATGCGGTGCTGAAAATCCTGAAACTTTGCGTGCAACTGAATTACGGAAACATATAGCGACCATGTGTATTAATTACAATTTATCAGAGAATGAAATTTCATCACTGGCAAACTTCATGGGTCATGCAGATAAAATACACTTAACTCATTATAGGCAACCTGTCATAGAAAAAGAAATCATATAAATACCTATCACAATACTTGGAAGCAGCACAAGGAGCTGGACGAGATGAAGAAGATAATAGTTCAGACGATAATTCAGATTCTGAATGCTCAGAATCTAATAGAAATAACAATGATGCTAATCGATGATGCACGTCGAAATTCTCATAACGCAGGGAACACGAAATAAACTGCGCGTTCTGAAAAGAGTTTGCCGCGACGCGACGGGCGCTTACCACTTCTGTCGTGCCTGTCGAAATTCTCGGAGTTCCGCTAACTCGAAGAAACTGTTTTAGGCAAAAGTAGAGTGAAACGGCGGCTTTACTCCCATCGCATGAGTTTTATTACCAAACCTACGTGACTTCAAAGTCCAGGAATAAGCAATGGACGTACGAGGAACATCGGGTTTTTCCAGTCGCAATCCGTATCGAGTTATGATAACGATAACAATAATGGCCTCGCACAAAACCAGACTGATTGAAAAACCTCCCATTCTCTCTACTCTTCGATACATCTCTCTTACTGTGCTTACAGTGGCTCTTATAAACTGCGTTAAATATTGTCAACAAAAATACATTTTGCATTTGACCTAGTTTCGAAAATAATACTGCATATTGTTTTCACATATCGTGAGCACTACAAATTCTTGCGCACCCTGAACACGTTTATACGATATATCTACGTACACTTCTATATCGCCCGTTTTCATTCTCTTATTCTGCTGACCTTCAGGTCTCGGGCACGACTTTGCTTCCTGTAATAACCATCTTACCCGTGTTTACCCTATATCAAGAGATAAAATCATAACAATTGATTTTCTCGTTAACACTGCGTTAACTCAAAAAGAATGGGTGAATTGTGATATATTATCATGAAAAAGAAGCGAATATATGCAGTGCAACGAAGCTTCAACGGTCGAATACACACTCGCCACGCTATATACGATCCATAGAAATTTTTGCAAACATTACGGGGACGTTCGATCATAACATGCTTGCATGGCCCGAAAAGAACGTAAAGACGCGTATCGTGAACGCGAATGGGCAATCGATTACCATAATACGGCGATTCCGGTGCATTCGACGAACATTCCGGTGTATATCGATGGACGGAGCGTGATCTATATAAAGAATCGACTGTATTAATGTATACGACGCACACGAAGCGAAGATTCAATGAGATTTCACGCTATTGCTTTTTCCGAGTTTTACCATTTTTCTTGTTCCGTAAAATTATTTGGACGCAAAAAAGCATATTACTAAATTGCACAAACGTTCAATCTTTTTAATCCGGGCTCGTTCCGCTCATTGTTCCCGATGCATAAATTCGCAGCTAAATTCGCAATTGCCCTTTTAATAGTATATTTTTAATCCGCATCGAAATTTCTGCATTGCAGCAAATTTCAGAACAAAAATTCCAATATCATTAAGCAAACATTGCGGTGTGTGACCCAGCAAAACTGGAATTAAATTTACCCATTGAATGGTCAAATGTGCTCGCCGGCCGGAGCTATCGCGCGGCATAATAATCGCGGTGGAATTCTCACACCGATTCGTGTCCTGTCCGGCGATAACCCCTGCTATAAATTGAGACAGATAGATCCGAAGGCGCGTATCGAAGAATCATATGGGCGATAGATTATCATAATACGGCGATTCTAGTGCATCCCGCGGCGGGACTCGCCCGCCTAAAACGAAAATTCATATGGGACCATGCGCAATTTAAGCCGCCATAGTATTTTACGTTCACTTATTTGTACCGGTAACTCCAACAGAAAGACGTCGCTATATGACCGCGCGTATTTCCATCTGAACAAGCATTATATCGCATGCGATCGTAGTCGCACGGAAGTTAACGGTGATGATTAAATGATATGCCGCATCGCCGGAATGAGAATGCCGCGATTAGAAATACTAGGTTTGCGAGACCCTACATGAAATTTAACGATATATATCGCGCGTGCGAAACTGGATTCTCGCGAACCAGTGTTCTCATAAAACGGAGCTATATATGGATTCCAACGACTACCGCACAAAAATCTTTAAATATTACCTCGTAATACGGCGTAATGTTTAAAGATTAATTAAAGTCGAAAATTCTTGGACAAAAATAATCTCCAAAATTTGTCGAGCTATAAACAAAACGACAAAAATTGATCGGTGGTATCGTGTGAACTATACTATGTATATATCTAATATTTATATTTGAATTGTACATAGTATTTCGTTCAAAAACTACGACCTCTTTTTTTTTATTTCGCATCGATAGAAAAATTCTGTTATTGATTCACACACAATGCTGTAAAACTTCATCACGTATTATATATTGTTGGTTTTCGCGGATCAAATCCTATCCAATATTATACATATATGTTTTCCCATAGATATCATTACGCGTAAGATACGAGCTTTCGTGAATAGCCCGGATACGTTACGCGCACTAGTAACATTTCTCATTGTCACGCGGATGTTCTCGGACCATCGAATTCAAGGACCGCTTCACTGTTTTCGCAGCTTTTGGTTCTAACCCTGCCATCATTTCGTATGACTCTTGCTCTATTCTGAATCGGTCGCGATCATTCAAGCGAATCGGTTTTCAAATAATTTCGACGAATCATATTTATCGCAGATATTTATCAACTCGTAACATTCCGATAATTGACAAAAAATATTTGGAGCGGAAATATTTTTCGTAACTAGACACCTAATATCTGAGAATAATTTAATAACTAACTTTAAAAAAAAAATAAGTTAAAAACAATGATTTATAGAGAGTGAAGAGCGACTCGAATTTTATGTAATTTTACATTAATTAAGCTTATTAATCCTCGGAAGATCGCGTGGAGTGTTAGGCACCCCCAGTTAGTATATTTTTGCGATCATAATAAAAAATTTTACCATTGTTGGAAGTCTTTTTTTTTTTACTTTAGAAATTATGTTAAAGATAAGTCTAAAGATTTATAAAATCATAAAAAAAAGTAAAAATTTTTTCTTCATTAACATTTACAAAAAAAAAATACTCTGGGATGTGATCTACACTGTTCCTGTTTCAAATTTTGACGCGACCGTCCGAGGATTAAGAACTTGATTGATCCAGTCATTACTAAAATCCAATAATCCGCTCAAGTAAGCTCATGTAAAGATGCACGGTCCGATCTCGCTGCTTGTGCATGCATTTGGCGCGAGACACCGTGTCTCTTCATTTTAATTGCATATTAGTATAACATAAAAATCGAGAATTAAATAAAAAATTTATTGCAAAATACTAATAACAATTTCGTAGAAAATCAAATAAAGCGTTAAGACGAAAAGGACGGTTATCCATCCACATAAAATATGCCATAGAATTCTAAGTGTGTCACGAGTAACAGGGACATTTCAAAACATCTCTGCACGGAGTGCTGTGGAAAAGAGAGAAGCTCGTCCTCAAGGAATGCGGCTGCGAAACGCATGGAACGTTATGAAATTTTCAAGGGTTTCCGCATTTTATCGGGTCCGATTTCCGCTGGGGAATCGGCGCAGGGAAACGGGGCAGCAAATGCAATTCTTAACGCTATGCGGAAATCGTGTGGTGAAGCTGGAGTATACGACTTCCAGCACGCTTCCTCGACGATGAAGTCGTCGAGCTGACATGCGTCACGGCAGTTAGTGGAAAAATATTCTTCATTCCTTTCTCACGCGTTAGTTATGGAAGATTTTTTTTTATTCTCGGCGCGTTCGTCGCAAGAATCAATATTACTTACTTGGATTTTCAGAAATATCAAGAAAAAGAGAGAGATATATATATATATATATATATATATATATATATAAAGACTGTATTTAATGTCTCATAAATTACAAATCTTTAACTATTAAAATTTTATATTCGTCATCAATGTTGACATTTATAAGAAGAATTTATAGAAGCAATAAATATTAACTTCTTGGAAAATGAACATTTCTAAATATAATTCTAATCACAACTACTTTAGGTTCTAATTACTATCTACAATTGAACGCTTAAGTGAATTTTCTTCAATAGTACACTTAAAGCATTAAAGAGAGCTCCACTTCACAAAGACTTAATTTATACGAGAAAAGTAAATCCGGTGATGGCCGTAAAAACATTCCCGATAAACAGCCCTTTTGCTAAAGAAGAATTCCTCGCCTTAGTTTCTCCCTCCGTAGTTCGACCCTTGGAACATTCGAGCAGGAATGGAGTAATAAATCACCGGATTCTTTCCAATAACTGCCTGCGCGTCGATAAGAAACGGAATAAAATTCCGCTTGAGAAAGTACGCCGACGAAATTAATATATATCCCCGCGCGTATTGATAAATTTTTCTCCGCCGAACAAACTTCGTCGATGACTAATATTTCGAAACTCGTTTGCGCGCAAAAATTTTATGTCATTCGCTTTCCCACAATTTTATTATCGGTATGAAAAGATTAATTCTTAACTATTATAAGTATAGCGCGATGGGATCTACTATAATGCAGATACTTTATGAAGAATATAAAAAAAAAAACAAATAAGAAAAAAAAGTAAAAAATATCACGGCGTTAGTTGACGCTTTAATCGCGATCAAGAAATAGCAATATTTCTGGATTGAGAATATCCTTCATTTTCCTTTTTCCCCGTCGCTCGTAAATCGGCGACGTCGCCGTCAGGAAACACGATGTCGTTCGCGAATTAGTTAATGCTTCAATTGAATCGCTATGCAGCCGGGAAAAAAATGACAACGACGACGACGACGACGACGACGACGACGACGACGCGACGGTGAAATCGGCGAGACCAATGACGGTTCGCCGATCTTTTCAACGATCCTAGTCTTCAATTACATCATTCCTGCGCTTTCTTCTCGGTGAATTCCGACACCTCATCCGTCACATTCGCGGACAGTTCTCTCTCGACCAGAAATCTCGTGATCGCTTATTTCATAAGAATCTGCCAAAAACAAAATTTTGAATGCAAATTGCCACGAGCGAGAAGAATGAAAACAATGCACTGCAATTTTCTAGTTTGAAAAAATAGAAAAAGGAAAAATTCAATATATATGTATAATATAGACTAAAATTAGGTCTTAATTTAAACACAATATTAAATTTTAGAACATCATATAAATTTTATCATAACATAACAGATATAAGATTAAATATCATTTTATTGTCTCAAAGTAAGCAGAGAAAAGTTTCAAAGAAACTATTTTCATCCTCTTGTCTTTATCTTTGTATAATGAAAATCATATAGAGCATAATTTGCATTCGGATTATATTAAAATTGTATTAATTACGTGTGGAGAGATTTATTCCGGATCAGAAAGAGATATATGCATTACAGATGCATTAGCTTATCGTGTACATTCTAATTATGCTATAAATACTATTTGCAACACAATAACCCAATCGTAGTTCAATTATCGACAGTAATAGCAAATATTTACACCCAATGGGAAACACGACAGTTTCCCCTTTTAATCAACGTAGGTTACGTGCAGAGAGTTTAGAAACTGTCTGGTAAAGTTTTATCAGTAAATTTGTCCAGTATACCGTCTCTTTTTCTGCTCATTCGATCGAGTCTATCATAAATAATTCTGTTAATTATTATGTAAGAAAAATATTTCAAACAAAAATCACAGAAAAAAGCTATTTTATAAAGTATTAATTTATTTATTTAAAAGAGACACGAAGAGAATACTATTTGTACTTGTCTTATACTTTAATAAATATTTTCTTAAATAATATGCATAGTCTATTATAATGTCAAGATCTTAGTACATATTTAAGAGCTACTTTAATGTAAAAACAGGGCACCTGCAGTTCTTTTAGATTGTTTCTCATTTATTGTTAAATTAAAATTCACACAATTTAAATTATCAATTAAAAAAATTGTTTGTACTTGTTAAGTACGATGTACGATTTAATAATTTGAAATTTATGATATTATCAATCTTTTTTGTTTCGTTTTTTCCAAAGACGTCAAAATTGCTTACCGTCTTTCATTTTCACAAGATAAAAAACGACAATTCCCCACTCCGATGTCACAGACGAAAATTGCGATTTCCTCGTTCGAGAAAATGCCTTCCACCCGATTTCGCGAAGAAGTGCAAATAGCGTAGCGCGTAATGCGCACGAGATGAATCCGCGCATCGGAAGATTTTCTTTCTTCCCGAAATAAGTAATCCCAGAGTAGGTAAAGAGAAAGTCTAAAGAGGGAGGAAAAAGGGCAAAAAGGAACAATTGTTTGATAAGTACGACATGTCGTTCGTTCATTGTCGCTATCAAAAGCAGTACACTGTGCCATGTATTAAATCGAGGATTACGACGAGTATCATGAGAATGAAGTTTTGCGCGAGTGAGCGCGCGCGTAAACGCATTTACGTGAATTTTGAGGAGTTAAATTGCTCGGAAAATGAGTAATCTCGCGAATAATGGAGAACGCCGGAAGTAGAATGAGGCGAGGAGTGCAGCGGTAGCGTAAACATTGTACTGACTCGAGTTTAATCAGAAGGAGCCAAATGAGCTTCGGGGGTCAGCCCTCGCGGCAGCCCGACAACGGGGTCGCGTCTCTCTCCTCGTAAGGATAAGGAGCAATGTGCGGGATACTGTATCCTACCGATCCGCATCGGCCAAACCAGGTCGGAGGAGGGCTGAGCAAGGAGCCATCGAGCAACTTTGAAAGTTTGGAAATTACGGTCGACTTGCCTATATAGCTTGCACTGGTCTCAATTGATAATTAAAAAAATGGAGCAAAACTTTCTTCGCGTTATATCCCAATCGATCATCGTCACGAACACGTCCATCCCATAAATTTAATTTTATATAACAACTAACGAAAGGAAAAAAAATGGTTTATCCTCCTTCCTCGCACTGAGAAATTGACTTTATAAAAGTTTAAAATACAATATAACAAAAAATGGCGACACCGGCTGATATTTGTAAACTCATGCTCAGCTGGCACGATGGATATTACTATTTTTGTAACAAAAATTATTTAAAACAATATTGTTTCGCAATAACTATTTTCACGGGCGCGGATATGGCGCTCTTTTTTCTTTTTCTTTTAAAAAAGGTAATTTTTAAGGTGATACATTTTAACACGTATACCGTACAATACAATATACAAGTATAATACAACTGAATCAACGGTTAATTAAGATCGTCCAAAAATAATCAGAAATGTCGCACATGTATTTTGTTTGCACTATAAATCCCATAAAAAATATGTTATTAATAAACTGTCGATATATCATGTTACTTTTTTTTAAGACGATTTAATACTTCGTATATTATCTCACACTCTCAACCTATTAGAAACACCCAGCAAATTACTCTTGAAACGGCGAAAAATTCAAAGCGACGATACGAAATATAGATATCCGAACACGAGCATCGTTTAAAGAAACAATTATCGTCCATAATAATTATAATGAAAAAGTAAATTCAAATTCCGTATTCGCTATTGCTTTGATTTTTTGACGTACGGATCTCAAATGTATCCGGATCTCAATTTATTCATGTAAGTAAAAAAAATTTGAGTGATTCTTATTAAGGTAACTTTGTGATACAAGACATTTCCAACATTTTGAATATTGATAATAACTGATTGTTTGTAATATAAGTTGATGAAATATGAAGAATCGTAAAACTATTCATTAATAAATATTTTAGTGACTTTTGAATAACGCGCATATAAAACTCACCAATCTTAATAAATTTAATTTTTTGATCAAAAATTAAACTGCTTATATCAATTTAAGCATTAGCGAATTACTTAACTTTTAAAAAGATTCATTAATCATTGTATTGAATAAAAGTCATTATTTATATTTATATCATATTTTTACAATGTGACCAAACTAATGCCAATTTAACATTATTTTAATAATTTATAATTTATTTATTTTATATGAAATATTTTCAGGCATCCGATGATCTTTTGTTACATCTCGCACCTGCGAATCGAGGAACTAGAAATGTTCAACCATTTTTAGTTTGTTCCAAGACAGGACAAGAAAGAAGAGGAATTTATTATATAATGACCGATGGCCATTTGATCCAAGTTGGAGCTAATGCTATCATAGCATTCGACATTCTACTAAAGTTGCACTACTGTTTTGACGTAGACTTCGCATCCGATTTGGTGAACTTTTACGATTTTATAACGGCCTGCGTAATGCAACTTCATCAACCAAAAGGATGCAGCATTGCATTAGAAACAACGTTACAAAATGTAACGCTAAAAGAAAATGATGAAAGGTATGTAATTACTGGACTAAATATTTTTTTATGTTCTCGTTACTGACAAAACGCACTAAAAAGTTTATAATTATATTAATAGTGACGATGGGATTGAGGATGATGAAAACGAAATGAATTAGGAATTAGACCGGAGCACATGTGGAATATACGGCCGTGCAATTTTATAAACATCCGCTAGCAATATCTGAAAATCTACAGACATTAAAGTGAAAGCAATCAAAGATTATTGATAATTACAATAAAACAGTGTCGAATGAGTTGTTTTAATAACCAGAGTGCTCCTAAAATGTACTTTTCACTTTATAATAAAGATACTATGAAGTAACTCATCAGGAGCGTCGAATTATTTATGTCTATTTCTACCAATAAAGATATATAATTAATATTTATTTCACTAATGTTTATTTCTACCAATGTTATAGATTAACTTTAATCTCGATTTAGTTTATTTTTTATCTTTTTTCTAGTTACAAAAATTAGAAAAGGATAAAAAGTAACATAAACCGAGATTGAAGTTAATCTACATTGGTAGAAATGGACATTAGTGAAATAAATATTATCTCACTCTAAAAGAATATTGAAATCTTCACTCCACACTAGAGTGAACCATGTCACTCTTTACCTAGAGTTGAACAATCACTCCAAGTAAAAAGTGAATAACGGGAGTGAAACATGTCACTCTTTCCAGAGTTGAACAATCACTCCAAGTAAAAAAGTGAATAAGCACTCTTTCGCAAAGTAAAAATTCGCTCTATTTAGATTGGCAGTATTTTCATTATTCGTAAGAGTGGGATCTCACTCTTTTCAAGTAAGATTCTACTCCAAGAAATTTAGAGAGTGCATATGCGAAGTTTGTATAAATAAAAAACAAATTTGATTTAAAATATAAATAGATATGTGCCAAGTACACTCAAGATAGTTCATCTATACATAGAGAGACGGCTTCCTTTCTCTACATGAAACATATTATTGCTTTAACTTTAACCCATCGAATAATAAATTATGCGAAACATAACCGAAAGTTTACACACACTCATAAAATGTCTCTAATATAAAATCCATGTGATTAAATGTGTTTAAAGTTTGCGTGAAGTGCGAAACGTGTCTCGTATGACATGATTGAAGGCATGCGCGATCGGGATAGCGACGTAGTATGTGACCGGCACATTAGCAACAACGTTTGCAAATTAATAAATAAATTTAAAAAAAAAAGACTAGGACTATTGATTTTCTCGCACTCTTTAACGTAAATTCGGACGAGTAAGTGCCCATCTATACAATAGGTGTTTTAAGCCCTAAGACTTAAGAAATTGTTCAATCACAATTAAATTTGAGGAGAATAATTGACTGTGATTGGCCAATTTCTTAGGGCTTAGGGCTTAAAACACTTATTGTAGATGGGCACTAAGAGAAGTACGGTCCCTGTTCCCTGATTGAGGAAAACTCGGCTTCTTAATACCCCGACCTGACCTGACGGTCTTCCGCCTACGCTATAATCTTGACGATTCCCTACTACGGTTGGAAAGTGAATCGGAAGTGTCCTGCAGTGATTAAACCAACCCTCTAAGGAGGTGAAATACGGATCCTGAAGGTTCTCACCTTTTCGCTCTACGGAAGTTTCACAACATTCCTCGCCTTACAATCGAGTGAATGAGTGGATCCAACTGGATCATGACGATTTGTTCCCTAACAGAGCATCCTTTGACCAAGGTACGTTACGTCTGCCTCATTTAAAATCGTTATACGCCACATCGTGTGAGACGTCTGTCATTTTGAACGATCCTTATTTTGAAGTACGATGACGCCGGAAAACAATACTGCATGATCGCAATTATTTGTGAAATCGTAACCCGTTCATTTCTTCAATTATTAAATTATCGTAACCCGTTTATTTCTTTAATTATTAAAATTATTTAATTCTACGCGATTCCAAAGTTTACGATATACATTGATTAATTATTAAATTAATTGCGTCTCAAATTTATGTGAATTTATATATGCTTTTAATTAAAATTACTATTTTCTTCGTCAATTAACTTTACTATTTCAATATTCAGTTCATTTTCTATTATATACATATTAACCTACTCATATTAATTTATGTTATTGATTTTGACTACGTTTGTGTATTTTAAATTGGTTTGAATTAATTGTAGAATATTCCTTTAATGTATTTCAATAACAAATATATGTATTAATGCTACTCGGCTATAACTGACAATGGTGAACTTTGTTTCCGTATCTTTCTCGTAGTAATCTACCACTGAGGTAGCTTCTGAAAAGATCCCGCTTTAACAAAATGAAATATGAGTTTTGTGTACATAGTAATTTTAATTCTTCTGCTTTATTTACGATGTACAATATAATTATGAAATTGGATTGAAATAAACCTTTTGTGCGAGAAAATAATAATGACAGAATTTAATATATTTATAGTAGGTAAATCCGTCGCCTAATTGCACGTCATAAATACCTGCGTCGAACTTCCGCGCGGTTGATTTAAGCAAATGAACTCGCGGCATAGTGCGCGAACTTGTGAAAATTAGCATTTTGATGATTCCGGTTTTAAATGCCCATAATTGATTAATCATCTCTAATGCGAAGCGTCGGTGTGCGAGTCGTTATCCCTTTTCTATGTAAACTCTGCTAGCAATAATACAGTAACCGGATCTGTTTATTCGACTGATTACGAGCGAAACAAACCAGCTCGCTGATTGGTGGTTTTCCCGTGTTTTCCCGGGTAAAAAGCAAATCTCGTAAAGACGTAATTGCTATCACAAGTTACATCGATCGTTTGTATTTGCAATGACGAAGCTATTCGCCAAAAACGAATATTTCATATTTTATGCATTAAACCGTTTTATGCATTAACATATTTAACGTATGTATGAGAATATATAGAAATCGTACTTTTATATCATTAAACTCCGATTGGTTTGAGAGCGAGTTCAAATTTCGATGCTAAATATACATGAGAAGGCATTATATAGCTATTTACGCTCGAACGACGGAAACGTGACACTGAAAATGCATAACATACATTTTTCCATATTTATTACCTCGAAAATGAAACTCTCTGAAATGATACTGAGGTAACGCTCAGCATTAAAGTAAAAATCTCGGCCATCATCAATCGATGGGAAAACGTGAGCAAATATAAAATTGTGTACGTTAATGCACAGTCAGCATCGCTCCATCTACACGATTGCATTTGAGCTATACGAATATTGCTCAAGCAATATGCCACGCGTCGAGTTAGGCGATATCATACCGGTGCAGCGCAACTCTCATCCCCCAGTGTGAGCTCACAACAACTTCGGAAACATCCGCCGCGGGAATTATCCCCGAAATATCTGCGGCGGCCGCGTCCCAGGTTTCCCGTATACATACGCAGTGCGAAACGCGAATTTATGCTTCATAAATAAACCGACAGATAAGTCGAGAGGAAGGTAGAAAGAGAGAATGCGCCTTCTTCAGCCGCCAGTAATTCCCGGGTATTCACTTTCGAGAGTGCACCGGGGCTCATCCGGTGCACGCGAGATCCTTCCCGCGCGCGGCGAACCCGACGGAAACTTTTACCCTTAATCGTGCCGTATCTCGCGCGACTACCTCCACGAGCGTGCAACAAATCGGCTTTAAGGCGTACGCCATTATAAAACAGACTTCGTGCTGTATCCCAGCTTGCTGCTTGCGTGTGGCCTTGTCGCGCTCTTCCCCCTTTACCCTGATCTTTCCCCGCGACTTTGAAAATATAGAGAGGTTTAAGTAATGTGGCAAGATTCAAGATTTCACGCTTGCCGGAAAAAATTTGTTGCCGATAACCGCGGATCTTAATAAAAATCGCGGAGACGATGAATGCTCGAAAATGAACGACGAGCGGGAGATTGAGAGATATAGAGTAAAATATTCTCTAGTTTTACTCCGTTATCTAATATTTTAGTAAAGTAGTTTTATCTCTGCTCACTGCTTTATGAAATTTATGCTCGCATTGTTATAAGTTATAACTAATTACTTAAGAGAAGAAAATTCTATTTGAATAAGATAGTTGTTAGCAAAACAATAATACATGCGCAAATATAGTATATTTCGCATGATGCTAAATAAAGAAATAGAAGATTTTGAAATTTTAATGAGACATAAATAACACACAAGTCATTGAAGTATATAGATTAAAATTTTTATGTTAATTTTAACATTATGTTAACATGACTGCATTTGTACACAGTTATTGGTGCAAATAACACAGTAAATTAATAACGCGCAGAAACTGCGTTTGTAATATACTTCGCAATGTCGCGGTTAAATATCTTAGCAAATGGAAAAACATCATGAGTTAAAATATGCGTTCTCTCTAAATATGAATCAGTGAATATAATATATTATAGTCACTAATTCAGATTTAGAGAGTTTGAATAACATTTGTCGCGTAACTGAGATTCCTTATCTATTTCACTGTTTACGTAAATTTTATAAAAATAGATCAACGTTTTCTGAAAAGTTATACACCGAATCGTTTTTGAAAACACCGGTTAACAATACCCGTGTAAATTCATCGAGCGAAAAATGGCTTTAAAAAATTGCGGTTGCCTTTCTCTGAAAATCGCATGTATTAGTCACGAAACGAATGGCGGCCAAAGATCGAAATCAAATTTGACTCCGCATAACGGGCGATACATTCTCGCCAGAGAGCCATTAAACGATAAATCGCTTATTACCGGCAATTAATATCGCGAACAACGGACATCCCGTTAATTCTCGTTTAAACAAGCGCCGTTTCGGTTGGAATTCATTCCGCGTAACAGCAAACTGCGTTTTCCCCGGGCCATCTTGAACTATGCGCGCGTTTATATCAGTTCGCGGATGTAGCTACAATAGAAGCAGCAACAGCAGCGGTAGCAGCAGCAGCAGCAGCCGTCGCCGCCGCCGGAGATGGAGCTCGACAAAACTAATTTCTCTCGGAAGCCGACTCCTTTTGTGCACTTTTTAAAGTACTACTTCTCTTTTTTGAGTGAAATTAAAATCCTCGCATACTTCGTGGAGGACGCGGGAGCGGTAGATAGATTCGCCTATTTCCAGCGTTGCGCACATAAACCAGGATCAAAGAATGTATACACACCTTAGGCATGCAACTGTCGCGACATAATGCGGTCCTGGCAACAAAAGGCTGAAGAAACGAGCGGGACAGAGAGCGGGAGAAAAGTGCGATCTATTAGCACACCCTCAGAAAAGATTTCTAATAACGAGACAAAAAGTATTCTTGACATGTTTAATCTCATCA